GTCCATCCTCACATCACCGCTGACCTGCGCCCTCCGTTCGTCTTTTTGTGAACGACCTATAAAACATTTAACAATGCATAGGGAGGGATTAACTATACGAGGCGGGATGCATTGTTAAATCTCGTCTCATATCTCTCATATAATTAATATTATTATACATTGTAGTTGGTAAAAGCAATTTGATTGGCTAAGAGCTAACAGTTAAATCGTGCAAGCACGCAACCTACACAAAATTCAGTTATCTGCTAGCAGATAACTCAGTTATCTGCTAGCAGATAACTGAATTTTGTGTTAGGTTGCGTGAAATTGAATGAGTGTACATTTCAAATGAGTGTACATTTCAATTTTCAAATGAATGTACATTTCATAATTGTAATGTTTACTTTAACAAGTAAATATTTTAATACGTTAACATCTTAACGATAATATGTTTCTTTTATATTTGTAATTAATTTAACTGTTGGACTTCCGGAGACTTGTTTATAGAAACGTTTTACTTGAACAGCTTTGCCAGACATCAAAACCCGAATTCAATAATTGTTTTATTATTTAAAATACTATGTTTATTATTCTTCAAATGTATAATAAAACAATTATTGAATTCGGTTTTTGCGATATGCAAAATTATCAAGGTCTCGGTAAGCGTTATCAGCCTCGCCTTCGGCTCGGCTGATAACGCTTACCTCGACCTTGATAATTCCGCATATCACAAAAACCTCATCCAATAATTGTTAATTATACTGCATCTGTTAAAACAGACTTGCATAATCTACAATTATATTTCGAGATACTCGACTCAATTTAACAATGCATATTCAAAGTTCTAAAATGTAAATATCAAGAATGGCAAGCTGATAACACTGCATTACCCGGTGAGACATCAAATCGAGGCTTATAATAAAATCGTGCAAACGTACTCTCCTGAGACCAATCTGCCATCCCTAGAATATCTGTGATTGAAACACCCTGATTTAATGCCTCTGCTGTAGCAGCTCCTCTTAATGAGTGCGCAGTAAAAATAGATGTATCTATATGCCTGCTAATTGCAACAACGACTTTATCCATCTAGCTAAAGTTGATGAAGATACAGGATTATGAGGAAGAATGTGAGACAAAAACAGTTTGTTATGCTCATCACCAGATCGAAATTCTTTAGTTTTAATTTCATAAAACTTTAAACATTCCACTGCATGGACATAAATCCTTATCTTCCTTAAATGCTGCATGAAAACTAGTTTTTGGTGAATCTCCTGGTTTAGAGGTCTTTGACAAACCAGAGAGTGAAAACGATACTCCTTCAGGATGAAAAGTACGCCACCTCAAATCTCGTTTAGCTAGGTCAGACGATCTATCTGGTGCTGTCAGACCCAATAGTGTTACCAATTTGAAAGACAAATTTTTTAGGCTTAAATTTTCATTAGGCCCAAGGGATTTTATGTAGCCCAACAGCTGAGAGACTTTCCATGTGTGTGAGTATTTTGGTTGAGGAGGTCGTAAATTAAATATGCCCCTCAATAGTTGGGAAACTAGTGGATGAGAGCCAACTTTCCAGGAATCAATAAGTGCTAACACTGCAGATAAGGCAGAGCGATAAACATTAATTGATCTATATGCTTTGCCCTCCTTATATTGTCCTGTAAGAAACTCTAGGATAGATTCTATAGATGTTGAAAGTGGATTAATTTTTCGTTGATCACACCAGCTAACCCACTTACTCCAGGCAGAGGCATAGGCACTACTGGTGCATGTTTTGTCTCCAGGCCGCCAACAAAACGTTTCGAGTCTCTTCTGAAACGTTTGCTGTTTCATGGGATTTGCCGACAGCTTCCACCCAGCTAATTGGAGATTGCTTAGGGGGTGCGACTGTTCTCCCTTCATCAGAAGTTAAGGAGACATCGGAAATAGTAGTGAAAGATCCACACACAGTTGCAGTAGCAATGGGTACCAAGGCTGAGTTGGCCATACCGGTGCTACTAGAACTAACTGATCCACTTTCTGAGACCTGACCTGCCGTACACAACGACCTATCAGGGCAAATGGGGGAAAGGCGTACTCCCGAATGGGGATAAAAGGCTGAAATGGGGGTAAACGCTGAAATGGGGGTAAAACGCTGAAATGGGGGTAAAACGCTGAAATGGGAGTAAAACACTGAAATGGGGGTAAAACGCTGAAATGGGGGTAAAACGCTGAAATGCGGATAAAACGCTGAAATGGGGATAAAACGCTGAAATGGGGGTAAAACGCTGAAATTGTGATAAAACGCTGAAATGGGGATAAAACGCTGAAATGGGGAAATTTATCGAATTCGTTGTTTGCTAGACCATTGCGAACGGCAATTGCCAGATAGTATACTTCAAAATAAGGTTTCCGTTTTTATATCAATTTTTAAAATAAGTTGGGGTTAGGTTAGGGTTTAGGTTAGGGTTAGGTTAGGGTTACTGGGTAAGGGTTAGTATTAGGGTTAGTGTTTAGTTTTATGTTAGGATAGTTTTTTCTACGTTATATGACGTCAATGCAACGGCCAGTTTATGCACCTCGGTCAGCATCAGCAACGCCACAAGGATCCCAACAGGGCCCATTACTTACCGCTGTCAATCTTCAAGTAGGAACATTTGTTCTTAGTCTTTTGCAGTGTTAACGTTGTCCTCCTTTAGTTCGCACCTGTTTTGGGTGTTCCCAATCGTTAAACCTCGGCAGGATTATCGCAAGTCCACCATATGATTTGAAGATTATTACACGTATGAATAGAGGTTTTCCTAACCCTAATACTCCTGATGGACAGTTGATGTTCAAAGAACAAAATGTATATTTCCATGTAAATTTGAGTTGCCTCAAGATGAAGCAGCCATATTTTAATCCTGCCTGCGTAACTGTACCAAATTGGCTGC